AATCTAGTGTAAAACTTGATGTACAATTTGGACAAAAATAGGAACATATCATGGGCAACAGAATTTAAAAATATTTTCTTTTCTTATGGATTTTGCTTTGCGTGGTTTACCCAGGGAAAGTATAAAGTTATTAGATTACGTATTGAGGAGAGGCGTTATTTAGATATAGTAAGTGAATTGCTTGTTAAAGGCGTCTCACGCGAAGAAACATATTGATTACCAAATATTTTTGGCATATCCCTACTCAAGACAAATTAAAATGAGGGAGGAAGCCCTCGCATGATGGAATTCGTGAAATTAGTAATGTACTCTGTGTTTTATATAATAATTATGTTTAGTGGTACGGACTATGTGGTCTAGAAAGACGTTAATCGACAAATAATAATAATAATAATAATAATAATAATAATAATAATAATAATAATAATAATAATAATAATAATAATAATAATAATAATAATAATAATAATAATAATAATAATAATAATAATAATAATAAAAAGGTAGTTTCTTTTTGACAGTTATACTCTAATCTTGAATTACACTGAAGTCCGAATGACCTCTCTCTCTCTGTTTAGGGGTGATCCACTTGAATTCTGGGGGAGAGGCTTGTAAAAAAATAGTTGTAACATGTTGCGAAAATATAAAACATTGCGGGGCAGACATAAAGTCGCCCCTATATATCATTCTATATCAACTACGTGCAGTTGGATCTGTTTGGAATAATGATGAAGCTTGGCGGGAAATAGATTTTAGATTGGGTCAAAAAATGTATTTGTAATTTTCCTCGTTGTACTTACAACTGATTGGTTTCCTTGTTTTGAAAATGTTACCCCCTCCCCTTCCAAAGTAGAAAAACATCAACAACATTGTGTAGTTTTATCTAAGTGTTTTTTTTTATGGGAAAATCACTACGGTTGTCCTCAGTACTGAATCTCTCTCAGCAATCACCGCCCGACTCGCATGATTTCGCAAGCTCGATTTAAACATACCATAACGATACCACCTAAAGTGGTAAGGCGATGGCCGAACAAACCCCCCCCCCCCCGGGGGGGACTTGTATTACTATGTATAGTAACCGTGGTATAAACGGGTATGCGAGGCACTGACTTTTGGTGAAAATCACGACCCTTGAACCACATTTTCTAGAGAAAAAAATAAAAAAAAGGCCGGGACATTGACATTTTAAAATGTCAAAAAGGAACCCCTTGCCTATTTTAAAACATAATTTACAGACCCCTCGGGTGTCTCGCATAGCCGTTGGCATAGGGGCTTTTCAACTGACGACTAATCCCCGTTGGTGGGTTTCTACTAGTGGACACCCCCCCCCCCCCGAACAAACAAACAAAACGAACCTTGGCTGGCGAAGATGCTCAGCTCAGAAATTCAAGTGAACAAAACGTTGACCCAATAGTTCATGTATATCATTCACACATTCTGTTGAGCCGGCTGTTAGTACATGGACGCAAACAGGCACACCGGAATGTAAATGGGAATATCCCCTCGAGATACGAGATACAGGGCAAAATCCAATGTAGGCTGCGCCCTCTAGCGAGAAAGAGTTTTGGTGACGCCAATGAATGAAAGCAGCGTCGATGTTGTTTTGTTTTGGTCCCCCATCATACAAAATAAGATTTTTGAGAGATTTACTATATTCTAAATGACGAATGAATGATTCGTCGATAGAGGGCGCGATTTAGGTAAATTCAGTTACTTCGTTTTTTTCACAACTGAACCACATATTGGAATAATGAGCTTGTAATGCAACTAAAGCGGCAGGTGTTTTCCAGACATGAATGCAACTCCAATACTTGAACCTAAATACTACATGTGATTGGCAGTGTATGCAACTTTTTCAATGCAATACATTGAATAATGGTAAAAGGAAACTATGCTCAGCCAAGTTGATGTAATTCATCACAAATGCCTAAACACTGAGAGCTTTGTGTCTTCCAGTGAACAATGTATCATAATTCAGCAATACGTTGTTCAAAAAATATTTACGATGCTCGGCATTAATGTCACACTCCATTATTAAATGGCGCCGAATCAGATTTATCATACATGTCGCCGCGGGATTGTATTGGTATTAATTTCTACTCCAGAACTTCCATGGCGTGTGACAGTTGTACACTGTAATTAAACTATCGGTCACGCGCCCAGTAATTTGTTGTTATGTTATTTCTATAAAGTTATGGTAAAATTACAACAAAAACAACAAAATAGAATTGTGTTTGGTATTTATTTTATGCTGTCAACCCAAATACATTGTGTGGTTGAGCTTTCCAGATGTTTCCGTATTTTTGTTTTAATAACACGAGAACTAAAATTCCGTGAGAAAATGTTCGTGGTCTTCAATTTAACCATAGCAACTGTTCAGTCGGCAAAGACGGCGATCACGAGATAAACACAACTCTTTGCTCGTGAGTGATCGATCTGTTTATACGTGGATCCTGTCTGTTTCACGCATTAAAAAAAATCGATTGTTGCGTGTAGAGGCAGACACTGTTAAATTCTATGGACATATTATCACTGTCTCCTAGATTCTGTGGTATTGTGCATGCCCACTCGTCCCACTGTTATGTGAGATAACATTGATAACGGTAAAACCAGGGCGAACGGTCTGAGGCATAGTTGTCCTAAATCGTAACGGTGAAACAAATATAGTTTGTTGTTTACATTACAATTTCGATACTATCAAAGACGCCTTAAACTTAACTTAGATAAATCTCCAATAATTATACGATAGATTTCAAGAGCTGTCAAATCCCATTGACGACGGCATCATCCTAGCATTCAGCGTCACCAAATGCAATATAAACTGTAGCAAGTGTTTACCATCGAATAGTAGTGCTATTGTTTACCGTAGACAATTTGGCTATATACTTTACTTGTTAAGGCAGTCTTTTCATTCTTACTCAATTTGGTTGTTTGAAGAATTTTCTGACGTACTCGTGATGTTATCCCATTCTTAGTACGTCTCTGTGGTGATCATGAACATATTGTAGGCGGGGTCAGTCCGTTACAATGACACAGGTCGACCGCCATTGTCTCGTCGCTGCATAATTGATTATCGCGTACGATGTGTTGCTAGGCTTAGCTCGTTACCAGCTGAAACTGGGCAAGCTGGACGGCCTTTATTGATTTCTTTTCACTGAACGGCTACTTAATTATTCATATAGGGTGAGTTTTTAAGATTATGTGCTTTTGTGTAATGTTGAATGGGATTCCCTGAGAAGACTAGAACGTTGAAAGTTGACGGAGAATCGCATTCACGGGTCAGCTGACTGAGTGGGAACACAAACATGGCTATGTTTGGGAGTCGGGCGTAAGTTTTTGAGTCCGGTGTTTCTCAAATTCCATTACCTGTCACGGTTGAAGTGCTTGACAGGCTGTTGCTATGGTATTTTACGGTTTCTCTCATGTGAAAAGTTGCAGCTTTGCGTGTTCTGCTACTGCGGTTGCGGGTTTTGCATTTTGGTTGTCCGGCACGACAGGAGCTAAAAAGTTTTCAAAGATGGCGCGGATCGTGTAGCTGCTTCCAGACTTTGTTTATTCCGCCCGAAGCAATAATGGACGTGTGAGTGGGCTACTGTATTACATCTCGACGTGCATATGTTTGATAATATTGTGTATTCAGCTTGTGGTGAACAATTTAGAAAATTATCCATGTTATTTTTTTTAGAGTAATGTAATCTTCCAGTGGCATTTGACAAGATTTGCTCACTGCAGTGCCACTCCACCGAGTTATTAATTTCACTCGAGTTGAGCCGGCGTTGCCAGACAATTCTTTGCACTGAGCAGAGTTCGGTATGTCATTGCGTTGATGGATGCCGGAACTTGGCTGTTCTAGCATGGGAATGTTGGACGGTATACGTAGCCGTAAAACAACATGGTACTGGAAACGTCAATGCTGTAGTTTCCCGCGTTCCATGTGGCATTATGTTTACCAATTGCATTTACGAGCACCTCGCGTGAATTGTTTGTTTCGTTGTTGATTTCTTAGATTAGCAACTCCTTGCAGTGTTTACCGTTAGACAGTACTATTTATGTTGTATTTGTGTTGGTCATTTATATTATTATTTTTAAATTTTAAACGTCCCAGATTATGGAGTGTGTTGCATGTGTTTTGACCAGTAAAACTAAGAAACTAACTTTGAGGCCAGTGTTGTGAACGGGAGAGAGAGAGAGAATTTTTCAGAATTTTCGCCAGTCATTGAATAGTAACTATAAAGCCAAATATATCCAGATAAATCTTGTGTTTCCTGTAACCCTGCTGAAACTGCAATCGCAATATTTCATTTTATACAAAGGAGCCCAACATTACTCGTTTCTGCGCAAACTAGCTATGGTCATTCCATCATTCCATCATTGTTTTTATTTTGTTTCCTTTCTTCTATGTAGTGAATGACTAGCACTTAGTTGTATAAAGTATATGTATCATGAAAACTAACATAGATGTCTTTTTCTTATCTGAATGTAGTTAAACCCCTAAGTTTAAATCATGATCATGTACATTTGGAAAAATAAATAAAAATATTTTAAAAAAACACCTAGGCCAAATAAAATTAACAGTGTATTTATTGTAACATTGAAAACAAAAGTAGGGTAGATAGGTAGAAGTAACTTTTTATTTCATGAAAAATAATTAGTTATTCTCAGTTAATTATTCTCATAATACCTCACATCCTGTATGTACAGGTTGACATTTTGGTTCAAAAATGAAGAATTTCTAGTAGAGCTGAAATGTGTACCTACAAGTACCTATTTTCCAGTGTGGTCATAAAAAGATACAGGGTCAGCCTGAAAAATCTAGACAAGGTCGGGTTACAGGAAGGAAATTATTTTTTTTATTGGGCCCTACCTACCCATTATGTTTTAGCCTGTTACTGGCAGCACCAAATTAGATGGTTTTGCCTAATAGCCAAATATTATGTATTAGTGAATATGTTGTTGTTAGAATACCTTACAATTTTTTGTTCAATTTCTGTCTTCATTAGGGTGGTTGGAGGAAGGTCTTGGGGGACGAGTTCAGAAGTAGAAAAAGACGAGTACACAAAGGAAAAATCAATCATGAATGATCTAGACGAAAAAGGATGGGGCCACATCCACCATGCAGCATCAAGGGGGTTCATCAAATCCATTACTCGCTTTGTTATGGCCAGTGAGGACCAGCTTGAGTTTCCCACTGCAGATGACCGACACATGACCCCACTTCTCTTAGGGGTGGAAAGTGGAAACTTGGAGACCGTTGAATGTCTGGTTGAACTCAAGTCTGATTTACGCTATGTCAACCATTACAACCAAGGAGCCGTCGAGTTGTGCTGCATCAACCAGTATGAGGATCCCAATAATACAAAATTTGAAGACATCATCAAGTTTTTTATAAAATTAAACCACGATGATCTGAAAGTTTGGAAACACTTACTGAAATTTGCTTCGTCTGATTCAGATGAGGAGGCAGAGGCAGGTGGGATGATGCTGGCCAATCTGACGACAAGAACGGAGGATAAAGTCAGTCCATACTGGGAAGATATCTATAATAATGAAGGCGTCACTGCACTCGTCAAAGTTACGAAAGGTCAAATCTCGGATAAAGCAAAGATATATGCATTTCAAGCTCTTCTTAACATCATTGAGCCTAAAGATGTCAAAGATAAAGCTGTCCAAGCCGGAGCAATCCCGGCAATTTTGAAACAGTTCAAGTCTTCAGATAAGAAGCTGGTGCTCGTCGCTGCTAAATTATTGTGCCAGATTGCTAAAGTTAGTGACTATGTCGATTTGATTGTGAATCATTCGGCTATCCCAGCACTAGTAAAACTATCCCAGACAATGAATGACACTGAAATTCTGGTACAGGTGGTCACCACTCTAGGGCTGATTGCTAAAGGAAATCCGGAACACAGAGCTAAGATTGGTGGCACGAGTGGATGCTTCTCGGCACTCTCAGCACTGTACGATGAATGTAAATCTAAGAGTCTATTGATCGCGCTTACCACAGCTATTGCTCAAATTGTGAAAGACAACAGGGAAAATCAGAGTGCATTCATCAATGAAGGGGGTGCCTCACATGTGATCATGCTTGCCAGCCAAAAAATTAGAGAGCTTCAGTTGTGTGCCATCGAGGCTATTCACATGCTGGCCCTTGACAACCAGCACACGCAGAAAGCTATCTTAGAGGAAGGTGGCATCATGCCTTTGATGCAGCTACTGAAACGTAGTCGAGCTCCAAACGTACAGGTCTGCACCGCCCAGGCTCTGTGGGCACTTGCCGGCGAAAATATGGAAGAGCGGAGAACAATGGGTAGCGCAATTGGAGTTAATCTCTTAATTGAATTTCTAAGTGCGCTTCCAGAACATGATGTGTTGCATTACATCGGTGCTGAGGGACTAGGAGTTTTAGCACAAGGTCCACTGAATAAACAAGACCTGATCTCGCAATCAAATGGAGTACAACCACTGGTGCGTCTATTGCGATCAACCAAAGAACATATCGTGCTGAGTGCTATTCGGGCACTTCGATACCTGTGTGTTGGTATTGGGTTTGTTCCACATGAAGTTAACCAGAATACATTGGCTTCTTCCAGAGGAATTCGATATTTAGTGCCATTGATGATATACTCTAAGAATGAACTCATACAAGTAGAGTCGGCATTGACTTTAGGATGCGCTGCGTTAGGTGAGTTACATATACTGGAGAACTTAAAAAATATTCACTTTCTTTAATTGTAGTGGAGTTAATGTTGCAGAGGTATCCACTAGGTTTTAAATTGATTGTTTTTCAAAGAAAACAATACAATCTATTGTTAAATTTAAATATTCATTTGATTTAATTTAACATGTTTAGCTATCGGTGAAATAAGCAAAGATAAATGCAAGCTAATAACGGGCCTGAAACAGGGACTATTAATTCTTATTTCAATTTTCCGTCTCTAACATTTTCTCAGAAATCTTACGCAGATATCGATGAAACTTGGCAGGTTGATGAACAAGTACTTGCCGAATATGCACGTAAATTTTTTTTCCAGATCTGAAAATCCTAATAGGGTCTTTTTCATCATTTTCATCCAAAACTGAGCATGCTCAGAATTAATAATTAGCTTAGATTGTAATGCTAAGGTTTTTAATGATGTCACGACCTGGACAGATGGGTCGTACCATTACCAATCTCAGTGGAAAATGTAGAGGGCTACATTTTGATGGGAATTATAGTGGTGATAGTTGTTACGTTCACACGACAGCATTTTATCGGAGCCCTACGGCTCGAGCCAGCAAAAATGGCCGTGTGAACGCATTCGGCTCTAGCCGGCTCGAGCCAAGTTCGGCTCCACTAAACCCTCGGGGTTGAAGTCCGATAGGGTTGAGTCCCGACATGGCTCCGTTCGTGTAAACGCATCAGGGCCCAACTATAGGAGCCGAAATCACGCCCTCAATCGTCTTCTTCAAGTAACCTATCATTTCAATTATGGTGGAGACAACATATTTCGTAATTTCACGCAATTTCCGGCTTGAAGAAGAGTTACGCGCCCTAATATACACTTGGCTAAGCAAAGAATTACTGCCAGATTAATTGATAGCTCGACAGAAAACGGGAAAATGGCGTACGACATTATGCAACAAAAAATTGAAAGAACGACTGAACAGGAACTTTTTAAAGACACCAAAGAAAAAATTGTAGAAGCGATCTAGTAGGTTCAGATTCTTCCGCAGTCCCTCTTTGATATATAGAGAGGATAGAGGGACTGTGATTCTTCATAGTACTACATTGTAGTAGATATCACTAACAATTGAATAATTACAAAATGATAATTTTGCATCACAATAAATAATAGGTTGTAACACATTTTAGCTGGCGTGTTTCCTGTTTATTCGAGGTACTAGTACATGTACCTAAATAATAACATTAGTGCATTGTCTTTTCTACCTCAGACTCGTGACTTTTTTTTTTCCTAGCCCATCAGCATCGTGCTATGTAAAGAAACAAGACAAACACGATACCAAAACCGATTTCAGTACAGTTTTTTCATACTCATTATTCAAGGGCACTGTTTGAACTGAATCGAACTCTGGCAGATCTCGGCTCTCGTTCGGCTCCCGATCGTATGAACGCATTGGAGATAATCTTCTGTTAATCAGTGGGAGGAGCAGTAGTTCGGCTCCGATAGAATGCTGCCGTGTGAACATGAAAGCAAATGAAACAAACCCAGGTCTGAGATTTTGGACCCGGGTCAATGAAAGTTTTCTGTTATCAGATTAAGGGAAATCACTTTATGATGAGTTGTACCCACATAGAGTACATATTAATTCAATTGTTTGCAGATGTTCTATGTATTGTTTTAACATGAGTATTTTATAATTAAATAACGGGGACTGTGACATTTGTTAGCGATGAAATTCTAATAGAGCAAATACGGTCTGCAGAATTGAGATATTGAGATGTGTTGTGAAGTCACAGTCAGGTGTCTCTGTGCTGTCTCTTGATTAGGTTTTGAAAGGATTTGCATTAAATTGTTTTTGTTTGTTTTTTGGACTGAAATTTTTTATTGACAAATAAACAAAATGTACGATGAGTGAGTAAAATTTATGCTGTATCCATGTGTAGCACACTAAAATATTTATTTTGGTTTTATCATTCAGAAAAGGAATTCATGAAATCTCACGAGTCGTTAATTGTGTTATTATGAATGTTCGCACTTGAACATGAAAATTACAATCGATGGGTAGATTAGTCTAGTGGGAAATCCAACTATGGTCCTACGTATGATCGAAATCGCAAAATAAAATTGAACGGAAAAGCACTGAAAGATTTTCTTTTCAACAAGCTTGTTTACAGCAACTCAGTGCTAAAGTTATTATTTTTTTTGTGTGGAAATGCCAACTACTCTCTTATTAATGTAAAGCTCAAGGAATTAATGTTTAGAATGTTAAAAGCAAAACATGGTATTCTGACGAGGCTTACTGCACGTTTTCTTTAGTTAGGCGGTGCTTTTGATTTGAAATCACAATAATTTAAATTCCATCAGCAGTGTATTGGATTGGAAGCTGTGAGTGGTTACTCTATCATGTGTAAAAACATTATTTTGTACTCATTTAATGTGTGGAATGAACTACTGATAAAATCGGCCTTTCTCGACCTGAACTCTGTCTTCTAGAAACCTGTTTAGTTCCATTTTGTGTTCAATTTAAGCTGGTTTCACCGTATAACAGCAATGACCATTCTTCATCTGAATTTGCCAAATTACTCTGTGACGAGTGAATAGGTGTGATTTTCCGTTCAACTGCGAGATCTCGTGAAATGCATGAAAGACTCGCGTTGAACGCCTGCCGCAATGAACGATTGATTTGATTTTGAACTCGAATTTCTTTATTTCTTAGCTTACATTGACCGGCCGATCTTCGACAGAGGAATATTGCTTCCGAATACCCTTACTTAATCGAAATTGCCTATCATCAAATGTGGACAGCAAATTATTAAGCATGGAAATGCCCCCAAAATATTTTTGCGTTTGTCGAATCCCACGTGATGTTTGACGCAGTGAATGGAAAATGGTCTATTTAAATAAAATTTGATTTTTCTTATTATTCATTAACAAACTGTACGACAAACTGCGTGCTTAGCTTGAACTTTTTCAGTACTACCGGTACTCAAATACACCTGAAGGAGAAAAGGATAACTGAGTAAACAGTGATTTTGTGATTTGATTTGATTTCAGTAATTTATGCAGTTCATTTCAACAAATTACCTTGTTAATGACTTCCACACACTTCTCATCTTGAATGTAAATTCTCTTTGGAAACATTCAACTGAAAAGCGCCCATGCAAACGAGTATGCTCAAAAGCAGGCCATTTTTTGTTTTTGGCAATGTTTTCATTGCCATTTGTTTTTGCATATTATTTTTTTAAATATTTAAATGTCAGTAAAAAAAATACTGAAAATATAGAAAAAATGTTGTATTTGTTGAAATGCATGATTCCTAAAATTTGGTGAAGATTTCAGAATATTTGTTATATCGCACTTGTACATGCAGGACTTGTTACAAGTGAAATCTTATCCTGAATATACCAGTGAAAATATTACCACTTCAAAAACTCATTGAAATCACGATTGAAAACAAAAATAACATAAAAGTTTTGCCTTTTTTAGTGACCGCTGTTTTATTATTTCATTTTCTGTATCCCATTGGCACAGTGACTTAATTAAAATTTATAAATTACTTAGGCAGCAGCACAAAACTAAATGTTCATGAATTAATAAACATGTCGAAACTATCTGTTTTAACTTCAAAAGATGACTGATGTAAGCTTCATTTAGATTCATGTAGCTTTTAAAACTTCAGGAACCGTTGTTGCTTTCACCACATAGTGATTAATATGGTAACCCCCCTCCCCCTCCCTTGTGACAAATAATAATACCGGTAGTAATTGTTTTATTGCATCTTTTGGAATACAGTGTTTCTATCAGTTTATAGCAACAATTTTGAAATACAAACAATGATACCAAAAACAAAAAAATACTCAAAAGTTGTTTTCATTCCTTGAAGGAAGGAGAATCGACACTTGTGATTATATTTTTAGCTTCGCTGTCGACTCATACGAGTGATTGTTTGTCGTCAACGTCCGTGTCAATGTTTTACTTTTTCGACTTCTTCTTGAAAACTACAAGTCTCAATGCTTTGATACTTGGTGTATATGTACCTTGAGTAGACATCTCTCAGATTTGTTCATTTCGTGAGAATATCTTCAATTCTCTAATTTTAGTGAATATTTTTGTCATTTTTGGTAAAAAGTGATATTTTTGACTTCTTGTTAAAAACCAAAAGTCCAATTGCTTGGATATTACATGTACAGGTACTACATGTGGACCTCTCTCAGATTTGTTCATTTTGTGGTGATATCTTCAATTCTCTAATTTTGGTGAATATTTTTGGTATAAAGTGAATTCTTGTTAAAGACCGTAAGTCTGATTGCTTTGATACTGTACATATAGGTACTTCAGGTAGACCTTTCTCAGATTTGTTCATGTCGTGATGATATTTTCAATTATCTAATTTTAATGAATATTTCTGTAATTTTTGGTAAAAAGTGATATTTTTGAATTCTTGTTGAAAACAGCAAGTCTGATTGCTTTGATACATATTGTTCCTTTTCTAATGATATCTTCAGTTCTTTATTTGTGCAATGTGCATTGCTAACAGCGGAGCTATTTCAGCCAACAGGCTGCTTGTTTTTAATTAAGTATATAAATTGTTATTGGTCATTTGTGATCTTGGATTAAAATATTATGTTTGAAAGCATATAAGTTTGATTGTTTTGGTAATTTGGGCGTAACAGAAGAAAATGTATCACTATTAAATAAATCTCAGAAATACATTGGTTACACAAATTTGTTGATTGCTGTGATTATTTAATGTTGGATTGTTGGAATCCTGCTAAATATGCTTTTAACTCTTATTAACATGGCTTTTATGCACAGCTCGAGAAATAGAATGTCTTTGATAGACTATATTATCATTTATTTTATGTTTTCGGCAAAACCCAAAACCATTGTGGGAGCTTGCAGAGTGTAACATTTTAGTGTTGACTACACTGTGATGAGAAAAGACAATTTTGTAGCCAGTGTCTTGTTGCATTCACAGTTGATGTTTTTTACTTGTTGTATTAGTTGTAAAAATCATACTTTACAAATCTCTCGGAATAAATCTATAAAACTGAGGATGTTTATAATTTGATTAAATTTTCAGTTGATTCACGGCTGTCATTGTGTTCTGATTGTCCTCTGACTTAGTCAGGTAATCTCTAGGTATATAAATACCATACAAGATGGTATAGTTGGAATATTAAATATATTAAAATAGTAGGAGGTTATCACAAGAATATCTCAAAGTATGCACGAAGACAGTACAGCAGGAGTATCGACCGACGCACAGCGTCGGTCTGAGTGCATACTTTTAGGTATCCCCGTAATAACCTTATTATTGCCGAAATCCAAAAAGTTTGGAATAGAATAACTTCTTTGTGTGGAGTCCAGTCAAACCCTGGTAGCAGCCATGTTTGTTTTTATTATCAGAGGATGCTTACGCATGTAATCATTCCATATTCAGAATTCACATTTCCTTATATGGTAGAATAAAAATATCCCATAAAATACTGCAAAATCATGGCACGCTATAACTTATGGCATTACGGTGACAGATGTATAATAATAATAATTATTAATATTTTCATTTTTTCTTGGGGTATTTTTTTTTTATAATTTCCATTTATATTATGCAGATTTTCTTCTTCAGAGCCAGGTTTGTGGTTATTATTATTATCCATATGGTTATAAGTATATATAGATTATTTGAAAATTAAAAATTAAAATTAAATTATTGACTGCAATAATGAATGAAACGAAAAATATTACAGTATAAGTAACTTGGTGATTTCACATTTGAATTGAGGTAGGTCTTAGGCTTTCTCAAATTTTAATGCTGACTAAATTTTTGTGTGTGAACACAGACCTAAATATTTAGGCCAGCTTAAATAAATCATGCCTGGAAAAGGACACCAGGGCTGGCCCTAATTTTAATCTCCAAGTTTAATAGGACTGCCTAAATACAGTATGATTTGCTACATAAATACAGAAAAACACCGAAGGGGAACAACGTGTTGAAGTCCACCATGTTGAAAAATCTGCCGAGTAATAACGTTTTGAACGTTGCGAACCAAATTTTAATCTTGTTTCTTCAACAAACAGAAATATATTAGGCTGGCCTTAGACATGCTGCATGTGAAATAGGCAACTATAACAATATAGCTATATTACATCAAGTGTTGGTGAAGCAATGGCTACACTGTGAGCAATATACGTGTAGCTATACTATTAGTAAATCAGTGTCTCATACTGTAATATTGCCGTTCCATTCTTTCTTGCGGTCAAAGTAATTGCATACATCCATCATTGAAAAACTGAAATAACAGTCTTTCAGAGAATCTCATCCAGCCATGTTAGTATGCTGAAAGTACACTCTGATCAATCAGGGCCAGCAAGTAAATTGATAATTACAAATCTTGTTAACCGTTGCCTAGCAAATTGTGGAAAATTTGAATGATATTGGTCTTTTTTAATTACCATCTATTGATAGTGATAAAAATAATGGATGATTTTCTCCCCTAGTATAAATTAAATTAATTTTTGCATTAAACTGTACGTGTTCATTGACAGTCTAATTGCTGTTCTATTTGTATTATATTATCGAATACCCTTAACGACAGACTGGAAATTTGAACTATATACCACATTAGTTGCTATTGAAACCATGTTCTGTTCTCCCTCAATACTTTTAACTACGAATTATTGCTTTAAGATTGATGAAAGTCATTCTAATCATTATTTTCATACACTAGTAACTGCCTCTGTGTTTAACAAATTTAAAAGAAACGTATACATATATATATAATGTCTCTTCTGTGGGAAAGCCGATAGCTCAAGTAAATATTTACCAGAAGTTATTGACATGTTGAATATAAAATTGATTCTGTTATTGGTTACCATGGCAAATAAAACCCTATGTATCCCTATTCAAAATGGATTACTTTGCAACTGTAGCTACGACAGAAATGCTCAAATTTGCAAATCAATAGGTCTGTGATTGAAAAAAAAAACTTTGTTTACAATGATACAATGGAATGCCTTGGAGTTGATTAAAAGCATTCACTGCATGTTTAAAAAGTTTAGTCAATATTTGCACTACCAGGATATTACATCAGAATATATTTCTTTTGGTTGTTCTGTTTTTATTTATTTAGCCTAGAAACTTTGAAAAGGGCCGGAGAGCAAACAAAACCACATGCGGCCATACCCAGCTACCTTTCAATTGAGCGTGACTTGCACTAGAAAACTGATACCACGTAAAATACATTTAGGCGTGCTTGAAAACCTTTTTGCTTTTCTTTTGCACGATTTTTATTCAGCCAAAGAGCTTTGATAGGCCTTTAAAGTTGTGAACAAGGTTTGAACAAGTTATAATGTGTACCATAAAGTAATTGAGCCTCATCCACAAAAAGTCACAGGGAGAAAAAAAAGGTATGGTAAAAAGGGCACAGGAAGAAAAGCCTCAAGCCATCAAAAATTCTAGGGGGGGAAAAAGGAACCTTGTCCCTCACATTATTAATAAAAAAATGTGAAATAGAACGTGAATTTAGACAATTTTGAAAAGGAAGTGAATTTGCGCATACATATATTCGCCATGCATTTGGAAAAAATACTGTATGAAATAAGATGAACTGCAAAAAAAACCTATCCTCAGTTAGGCTGTGTGAAATCATAGACCCTCTAAAAGAGGGTCTATGGTGAAATCTGTGTGCATTTTATAAATCAATCGTTATCCTGCCAGCCTTACATGTGCTTACATTGACGTGACCAGATAAGCGTTAATCATATAAGTAACTTATATCAGCATTTTGCTGTTTTGCGATATCCACTAAGCATTGTCTTTTTATCCCCAGCGAAGTCCTTTGACCTCGGTGTTATCTTTTGATCCAAGTATCAACTGTGATAACATTATTTTTTCTGCATCCCATTAACTTTTTCTGTCAGAAACTGGCTAATAATTCTTGTGCAGGTTGATGAATCATTGTCAGTTTTGTTCATTTCTTGATGATACTTCAATTCTCTATTTTTGACGAAACCCTTATCCCAA